CATTCATGTGTTCACTGGAGTAGTGCTTTTAATTTCCTTTCAGGTTTTCCTTCGCGTTCACTACTTGGCTGACTGGCAGAAGAGACCTAACTTTCAGCCTGTCTTTTGATGTGCCTTCCCCACTAGGCTGTATCGTTTCCAGCTTTTAACTTAAAGGGAGAGATATGCAACTCTTCCCTTCAGTTTAACACTTACAGGCCATTGCAGGGTTATTAAATTGGCCTAATCTCAATATTGTTGGGTCTCAGGGAATACAGAGGCCCAAGGAGAGGGAGAGAGATGGGGGAATGGCTGGTCAGTGGAGCAGTCAGAACACACAACATTTATCAATTAAGTTCACCATCTTATATGGGCGTGGTTCATGGTGCCCCAAAACAATTACAATAGTAACATCAAACATCAGTGATCACAGATATAATAATAATGAAAAAATTTGAAATATTGTGAGAATTACCAAAATGGGACATAAAGACACTAAGTGAGCACAAGCTATTGGAAAAATGGCGGTGTGCAATAGACTTGCTCGACGCAGGGTTGCCACAAACCTTTAATTTGCAAAAAATGCAATTATCTTCAAAGTGCGATAAAGCAAAGCACAAGCAAACAAGGGATGCCTGTACTTAAGTGTAGAAATAATAAAAATTCAGAATAGTTTTACCAATAGGGAGAAAAGGAGAATAATATTGGAGGATATATTAGATATACAGGGGACATGAATTGAATCTGTAGTGACTTACATTCTGAAATCAGATACTACACAATGTTAACATTTGGTAAAACCGGGCAGAGAATATGAAGCTGTTACTTCTATTATTCTCTATAGCTTATTAAATGAAACATATGATTGCAATTTGTCAGAAGTATTCCAGAAAATAAGAAAATCATATTCAGCTCTCATGAGGAGCTAGCCCTTCTCTGTCCGTCCATCTCAATGCTTCTTTTCTTATTTCACTTGCCTCTTGCACCTCAAATGTGCTCATCAAGTTTGGTCCTGAAAAACATTTGCCTTCTTTTCAATTATGATCAATATGTAGCTGTTCAATTAATGGCACATGCATATCCTTCCAGATAAGGGACAGCTTTATGGAATGAATGACCTTCATAGGCCAGAAGAGAAAGGAGAAGCCTAGAGAAACAACATCACATTTAGTTGTTCGCCAATGTTTGTAAAACTTCGTTTCTCTGTAAGTCACTGAGATAAGAAATAGGAGCGATAGGAAGTCCCTGTTCTTAAGGAGTTTGCAATCTAGGAAGGAATATGACACAGGTACCACCAACATTTGCAGATTTATAGATATCAAGGAGAGTTATAAGTCTAAATTAGTCTCAAGACTGAATTATAAAACATTAAAAAAAATCAGTGAAAAGGGTATCATCAATTTTACTATCATGAATTTATCCTTCTGGTATATTTGCATGTGTGTGAAATGATTTATATCTAAGCTTTGTTTGTTATGGTACAAGAATAGAAATAACTGGAATATCTATCAACGTGGATCTGGCTAAATAAATTACAGCACATTCATGCAATGATATGTTACACATTCCATAGAATGCAACATCTCAGATACCCTAAAATGAACAGAACTACAAGATGCATTGTGGAGAAAAAGAAAGTAAGACAATCAAACAAACAACAACAACAATAAACCAAAGTACACAATAAAATTGTAGTATTCTACAAATTTTGTGAGAAAATAAAGAATTTGTGTATACACACATATACATATATGCATAGAATAGTCTCTGAATGATACAAAAAAGATCTAGAAATAGGATGGAAGAAGCTGAGTATCTGGGGAATAGGAATAGGAGTGAATCCGTGTATCCTTTTGTGCCCTTTATATTTTATACTCTGAACATGTATTACCTTATAATAAAATAAAATTACATAAAAACACAGAAATGTAAAAAATAAATTGGAAATAATAGGAGAAATGAATATTGGAAAAAAGAATTGAAAGTAAAGACAGATTCTTTTCCTTCCTTTTTTTTTTTTTCTTTTGCAATACATTTTCAGAATTTCCAGAACGTTAGAAGACCAATACTCCTCATTTATAAAAGCTGTGGGTGGGGTAGAAGGTTGGGAGAGTATGATAGAAGCTGATAGAGTCAGTTCAGAACATTCTGGCGAGTTCTGGCTGTTGTCATCATGTGAGTTTGCCAAGGCTATGTATCTCTTTGTATGGAGGAATTGACATTCTCCAACCACCTCCTCCAAAGATTTTGAGCTCTTTGAGGGCAAGCACTGGTTTTATGGATTTTCAGATCCTCCTGATCACTTGGGAATCTGGCTCACAGTGAGTGAGGTATATGTACATTTGGTCTGAATTGAATGACTGACTGATTAGGGTGGGACCTTACTGAGTGCAGTGCTATGAGAAGGAATAAAGTAGCCATGCACCTGCATTTCAAGGGGACAAGTTATTGTACTTACTAACTGGGGACAGCGAACCAGTATAAAATATTGATATTTTAAATAATAAAAGTCACAACCACTGCTAAGTGGAGTTCCAGTAGAAACTGCTTTAAAACATAAATAAGAATCATTTCTCATTAGCAGAATTATTGTTTATATGCAAATGATTCTGCTTAAGTGGCCCTAAGTGCTGGAGAATAACTCACATTTTTCAGGAGGCTGAACACCTCTGTTGTGGTTACATTATGCATTTGTTTTGACAATCTTTTTTTTTAGTGCAATAACTTACGCCAAGTCACCTTATGTTAATATATTACAATATGGAGTTTTGAATATTAAACTTTGTTAGGATTTATACTATTTATTTTCCCTTTAGGAAAGCTGTGAAGGAGTTTTAGTTTTTAGTAGTGTAAAATATTTCAGATTCCTATCCTTATAACTGACTACGAGGTATATATTCATATGACTGCATATTAATATATGCAAATGTATCAAATTGATTACTGTACAATCTTAGAATTCTAGAATGTATAATGAGTATATAATTTCCAATTACTGAAAGTGCTACCTTGTGTAAAGCTCATATTTCACCATGTATTATTTTTCTTCTGATTGCACTCAATTCCAATTGTACATCATTAAAATGTGAATATGGAAGTCTGCAGATGGGAGGGTTGGTAGCAAGCAATGCAGAGAACCTTTTTTTCTCTTTGACCCCTGCTGTGGGACTTTCTCTTTTCCTGCAGTGTATGCTTTGAAATTTTAAAATACAAAATTTAAAAGGAAAAAGCTCAGTAAAAATGAGTTATTATTGTTTAACAAAGGGGAGGACTATTTGTTTAAAAGTGCATCTGGAAATGGCCTCTGGGAATGAGATAGTCACCAGTGTTTCAACATGAGCCTGTTTATGCTCCCACTAGCTTGATGTTGATGCCATTTTGAGTGCCAGTAATTTCACATCAATCCTTTCTGTCCAGTACAAGGTAGGACTAAACGGTGCTAACAAGAGTTGCAGAGAGTACAATTTAACCTTCAGTCCTGGCGTGGGTGCTTACCTCTTGTAATGTAGGATTTCTGAGATTCATTTTCGGTTGAATACTCTTCTCATAAAGCTGTATTTGTCAGCCTTTAAAAACCCCACAGTGCTTTTCGATCAACACAACCATCTCACAATTTCTCATAACAGTATTTGAAATGACAAAACAAATATTGTGCCTAAAACCAAATAAAACTCAGTATAATATCGCTTTCTTTAACCACACCTATACCGCTCTTGAAATTTTGATACCTTTGTCAAGGAAGGAGAGGATGAAAGGGACAAAAAACTCCTCCACTGAGAATTTCTGCCTTGGCATCGTCCAGAAGTTTCTGCAGGAAAGGCTAGATGGCCTTGGCCCTCTTTATGAGGCACAGCCAGTCTTGCTACTTGGGGAGTGGAGTTGGACTGGTGGGGTAGGCTCAGGATTCGCCCCTTCTCTCCCACACCAAATGTCTTTGCTTTTGTTTTCTGTTTTTTTCATCTTCCTCTTTAGAGCATCGTGTGCACTGGCAGGCGTCAATGGCACCCAGACCCCGTCCTGATCCACTGCATCCAGTCGTGTGAGGTAAGCCGTCCCCCCTTCCCCAAACTTAGACTAGAGAACTCTGGTCTGCTTAACTCACCGAACTTGCGTCCTTCTAATTCAAGATCCTATCCCTCCTCCTCCCCCTGCCCGCTGCCTGTCATTTAATCTCTTAAATTTAGTTGGCTCCACAATCCCAAACTTATAGAAGTTAGGACTTCTGATTTTTGTTTTGTTTTAGCAAAATTTTCAGGGTTTCATTTTAAATAACTTAATAAAAAATAAGTTAAAAAGCAAAAGCAAATCAGAATTATTTATGGTTTTGGGATTCTGTAATGAGGCCTTGCTTGAGCTTAGTTAGATCAGGATTTTGCAGACTGATGGATCACAGACAGATTTGTTTGGCCAGCACAGTGTCTAGAAACAATTTTGCTTTGGTTGCCAATATTTAAAAATGGGGATTTTCACATAAAATTCATATGTGTATACATAACATTAAACACATACACACACATACACCTCGGATAAATATAAGAAACTCATAGTGAAAGATTTTTTTCTCTTGAAAAACAAGAATGTCTGGCAACGATTGCAATAATTAGCTGAATCTGAGTAGCAGCCACAACCCCAGAGGATCAACTCTGTCCGGTCAGCGCGGTCCTCACCTCTCCCTGTGGCTACTTACCCGGTCATGCTGGCATCTGTGTTTGCACCCTCTTAGGTAGACCTGTTG